AGTAAAGTAAAGTAAAGTGTGCAAATTAGAAATTTGCACATGGCTTCCTCATAGAGGAAGCTTTAAGAGCGAAATAAGAATATGCAAATTTCTAATTTGAATACTTTCAAGAAACATCGTAGTATTTTAATTAAATTAGCATAATACGACATATTGTTCCGTTACATAGGAAAGTTAATGAAGGAAAGGTTACAAGGCGGCATCCGGGAAAATTTGACGTACATCCTCTAATAACGGAATTCATTAAATAAATTTGAATTACATACTTAAAAAACATCAGAAGCTTAACAACACATCATAATGAGGTAACAATAATCTATAAATAGTAAGCGTTGCATTGCAATGGTTATTTGAGGTGGTGTCTTCGTGCAGAGTGGTATTTCACTTAAGTAGCAGAATTATTTTTCTTAGCCGAACTCGCACGATATTACAGTGATACTACCAATATCAAGATCAGGTACAGTTAACAGTAGAAGTAAAAAAGTAGGTATATAAAATACTTATACAACAGTATTCTCTAGATTATCCGAGAAAATAATCGAAACCATGGATGATAAAGAATCATATAAATCGTGGGACGGTATTGACTCCGGCGAGGAAATTGTTATTTCTGGTATAGCTGGTAGATTTCCAGATTCAGATAATATGAATCAGTTACGAGAAAATTTATTTAATAAACTTGAACTTGTTAGAGCAGATCATGGGCGATGGTTGACAGGTGAATAATTTGTATGCACTACAGTTCTGCAACTATGCCTGGTTGACGAATAAAAGATATGTCAGAATTGGACAAAAATATAATCTAATTAACAATTATGAATTACAATTACAATATAATTTTTAATGCAATTAATATATTTTTAATCGTTAATAAATTACTTTTGGTTATATCTAAGGTAATTATTACAATTTATTAAAAATAGTGATATAAAAGTTACTGAAGTACAATATTTCAGAAATTTTAACTTTACATACAAATATTTCGGCAAAGAGGAGCATTGTAAGAAAATATTTTATAGATACTTTTCCGGTTATTTGTATTTACATAGTCATTCGGTTCATAAAATGGCAGAAGTTTATGATCACGGACATGAATATCAGCATATACGTGAAGTCTTAATAAACGAAATGGATATTGAACCACGTTATTCATACAAAATAATTAATACAAAAACAATTTTATTTTAGAAAGAAAAATGTTAGAGTCTAATATTTAGCTATACCTATTGCTCTTCTGTCTTTCTTTTGCAATATCAAAGGGAGACAGAAAAAAATTAATAGTGCAAAAGGTTTATTAATTGTAAAGAACAGATCCACATATAATTTAATTAATATAAAAAAATTTCTGCTAATTTTTTTCACAGTCAAATTGTTAAATCTTTATGTGATCTTTTAGAAACCTCTCTAAGTTATTAGGTTGAGAAATGCGATATCTTTTAGAAATCATTTTGATAACATATTGTTTTCTGGGAACGTATATTTAAAGTAATTAACATCCAATTCTGACTGTCGCTTCTGCAATAATTATTATAATATAATTTATACGATAAGGAAATGTATTTTAAATTAAAATTTCATATAAGAAGGTGTGAGCATTTTTGCGTGAAATTGTACACTTTGTTAGAAAAACCGGATCTACCAAGCCGTATGGGAGTAATTAATAACGTTAAAAAGTTTGACGCGGATTTCTTCGACTTTTCTTTTGAGCAAGCGCAAACACTTGCACCTGAAATAAGAGCATTATTGGAACATTCTTATGAAGCAATTATTGATGCGGGGATCAATCCAAAGCAATTGCGAGGAAAAAATACCGCCGTGATCATAGGGAACTCCTTCTGTGAAACGCAAGTTAACTTGATGTATACGGATCTTAAGGTAAAAAAAGTTATTGATAAGTATACCAGGAATAAATTATTATAAATTAATATATAGAAATTTATATGTTTGTATCACTCAAGTCCGAAAACGTGTAAAATTGTTAATTTTCTGTAATTAGCTAAATGGTCTGAATATTACTGGATGTTCAAAATCTTCACTGGCAAACATGATTTCGCACCATTTTGACCTGACAGGACCATCACAAGTAGTCGATACAGCCTGCAGCTCTAGTCTTTATGCCCTAAACGTTGGTTACCGTAATATCATGTCGGGCCAATGTGAAGACGCGATAATTGGAGCTGCACAACTAAATATTAATTCACTTATACATATGCAATTCTCTCGTCTTGGTACTTTACCTGAAATTAACCTTATAATACATTAAGTATAAAAATGAAATGATTACATCTGTCTCGTTTAAAATAATAAATAAAATTTAACAGACTAAGTAATTTTAGTAAAAACATTTGTAATGCTAGTAAATAATTAACTATATAGGAAAATTCATAAACGATACAACTAGCAAATTTTAATTATAGAAATTTATTGCGAGAAATATATTACCTCAGCCAGAGTTTGAACCTGGACCTCCCTACACACTGAGGCATGTCAGTGGTCGAATTGGTAAGACGCTCGCTTAGAGTGCAGGGAGGTCCAGGTTCAAACCCTGACTGAGGTAATATTTCTCGCAATAAATTTCTCTAATTAGAATTTGCCAAAAATGTATAACCTTGTTTTACTTTTACATTTGTGTTTTTCAGGTGTTTTGTCACTCAATAGTGAGTGCAGACCTTTCGATAAAGCTGCAAACGGTTATGTACGTAGCGAAACGGTGTCAGTGATATATCTTCAAAAAGCAAAGAATGCGAAAAGGATTTACGTTATAATTCCCCATATTAAAACAAACTCCGATGGTTATAAAGAAGAAGGAGTAACATACCCATCGACCCATATTCAAACTGCTTTGCTATCCGAATTTTATGATGAGTGCGGAATACCGACATCTTGCGTGGATTACATTGAAGCACATGGTACTGCTACCAAAGTCGGCGATCCTCAGGAAGTCAATGCTCTTCATAACGTTTTTTGTAAGAATAGAGAAACTCCTTTAATGATTGGCTCCGTAAAATCCAATCTTGGTCATGCTGAAGCTGCAAGTGGTTTAACTCAACTTGCTAAGGTAAAAAAGTGGTTTACGCGTTTATTTATCATGTTTCAAACTTAACTTAATTTTACATTTGCATATACACAAATTGAGAGATCAAGAGACACGGCAGTGTCTCACACTAGGTGCATACATTTGCGATACAGGTAGTGAGATATAGGGTGTATCTACATATACAGGGTGTCGGATTCGATTTGGACGACTCCAAAGATTATAGTAGATTGGGTCAAGCTGAGAAAAAAGTTATATACCATTTTACAAAATCCGTAATTATTATCGCGTAATTAAAAAAAACGTCTGAGCCAATAAGTGCACGGAGGAGCTGAAGGCCGGACTCGACAGACTATTGTTACTTTTGTACCGCGGCACGTGATATTTCTCCTTAGTTTAACCCAATCTACCACTATTTTCAAGTTGGCTACTTTTGCATCAGACACCCTGTATATGTCAAATTTTACCTGATCTTTAATAAATAAGGGAATAAATAATTATTTAAATTATTTTGAAATGTATTTTTATTATTATTGCACCGAAATAAAAATAAAAATTATTTTAAAGAAAATCAAATACAATTTTAATAATTATTTTTCAAAATTAGGAACAAGTAAAATATTTTATCAAAGAATTAAAGTATTGACACAAAAATAGTTGTTTATGTAATAACAAAATTGATAAAATTCTCATCCTGAAGAAAATTCTAAACATACATTTATGTTGTCCCAATAGCATAAGCTATTCGAGAAAAATTCATTTGTATAACACCAATTTTAAGTCCTTTTCAAATACATAGAATTTATTTTATTTGACATATAATTCAATATTTTGATTAATCGTAATTCAATAATAAATTCTGTTATTGATATCATTTTTTATATATTTTATTTTGTATTATGTTTATTGTATATTGTATATTGTATCAATATATGAATTAAGTATGTATTCATATGATTGTATTAGGCTCATATAATATTGACAAATATAGTTTGGTTTCCATATAAAATAATATGAAGGAATTACTTTGTCGAAAATACTTTAAACTTGCCTATTAAACTTAATTTTATCTTTAGCCATTACAGTAAGGTCGGTATACATAGTTACATCTTATAGAGAGCTCAAGACTGTCTGGAATTTATTTAAAGATGCTGTATGGAACATTTTATTAGAGTATCTAAAGGTGATATTAAAACGATCTTAAATATAAGATCTGATTTTGAATACCGCCTTAAAATAATAATAGTCTTAGTAATAATTAATCGTATTTAAATACAAAATAAATAATAATATAATAAATTAACTTATAATTAATTTATTAATTGTATTTCATTAATTGTATTTAATTGTTTTTAAAGGTAATAATTGCATTTGAAACCGGTATTGTTCCACCACATATCAATTATACATCACCACGAGATGATATAGACAGCATAAAAAATGGAGCTATCTGTGTCGTTACAAGTCCAATGCCACTTAAAAATGGTTACATAGGTATTAATTCTTTCGGTTTCGGGGGAGCTAATGCTCACATGTTAGTAAAGTGGAACCCCAAACAAAAAGTTGACAATAATGCGCCTAATGATGACCTGCCAAGACTTGTAATATTATCTGGATGCACTGAAGACGCAGTAAACTTGTTCTTAAACGATGTTAGTAAACATTTGAAAAGTAATTTTAATGTCATTTTGAGTAATTTAACATTATATAATACATTTTGTTTTAAAATATTTTTGACTATAGGCTGCTAATCATCCGAAAAATATAGAATATATCCGGTTACTGCATGATATTCATGCGGATAATATAGACGGTCACTCGTGGAGAGGATTTACCATATTAAATACTTTGCGACAAGATTCAATAAAGGAAATTCAAAATTTTGAAAATGTGAAGAGACCTGTTTGGTTTATATTTTCTGCTTTAGGCTCGCAATGGCCAGGAATGGGTATATATTTTTAATATATTTAGTTAAGAATATGTTTAATATTCTGTCCTTTACAGTGGTATTTAAATAATAGACGATATAATTTTTTAATCAAACTCAGGTCAAAACTTATTAAAATTGCATGTCTTTGCAAATACTATAAAAATGTGCGATGTTGCTTTAAAACCATATGGTATAAGCGTCACGAATATTTTGACAACAACAGACGAAAAAGTGTGCAAAGACGCATTAAACGCATTTGTTGGGATTGTTGCTATTCAGGTAAAATTATATTGTACTTTGAAATTATAAAATAGTGTTCAGTGATAAAGTAAGAAACATCATGAATATTCATATAATGAATATTCTTTCTGACATTTCATCCCATTTACCAGAAAAGGATCGGAAGTAGTTTCTGAAGATATTCGTACCGAAATAGAAAAACCAATTTTCTTCAAACGGGTGTTTTACCCCCTAGAAGTGCGTATGTGCATGTATAAACAAATACGCGGCTTTTATTTTGAGCTGTAAAACAACATATTAAGAGTTCAGGCAAATCGGAATGGGATACTTCCTACCCTTTCCTTGTATTTTCTTCCTTGTAACTATATTTATCTCATGACACTTTATTGGCTTCTTAGAAATAAATTTTGATAAATGACTACAGCTATTATATACACATATATGTATATAATATATATAATTATTTGTATAATTTTACAGATTGGTATAGTAGAACTTTTAACATTATTAGGAATTATTCCGGATTATATGATTAGTCACTCTGCTGGTGAACTTGGTTGTGCGTACGCGGATGGATGTCTTACTATTGAACAAGCTATTTTAGCAGCATATTTTATTGGTTTGTCGTGTATCGAAGAAACAATCATTCGCAGTTCTACGGCAATTATCAATCTCAATTACGAGTGTCTCGAAAGCATATGTCCAGTAGATATTGAAATAATATGTCGTAATAGCGAGAATAGTAACATTGTGAGTGGGCCCTCAAAATCCATACGAGAATTTATGAACAAACTACAGGTATAATTGAAT